AGCCGCGAGAGGGTCCCAGTCAGGCAGACGGGTGGCCACGAGAGGGGTCCCATCAGGAGGCCAGGTAGCCGTGAGAGGGATGCAGGAAGATCTGAAACAGGCAATATGGATAAACCCATTCACCTAGGAGATGACCCTGACAAATTGCCTCCATACCGTCGAGATGAGACATTCAGGGGTTCTTGGGGTCATGAAGATGATAGAATGCAGGAGGAATTTCCTCTAGATAGTCAAGATGACCCTTCGGAGCATGAGCGGTTGGATGACTGGGAAAGAGAACAGTACTGGAGAGATCACAACTCTGATTACCAGGATGATTCCATAGATGTGTATGACAGGGATGACAGGATGCAGTCCCACCATTCGCTGCCTCCATTATCTCCCTTACCACCACTACCTCCTTTATCATCTGATCACGACAGACGAGATTCATGGTGGGATGACTGGAAAAGGCCGAGAGAGAGGGAACTGGAGAGAGATCTAGATAGGACTGGAAGATCCTCGAATATTTATGATCAAGATTTAGACAGAGAATGGGATAGAGAATGGGACATGAGGCCTATGGATGACAGAGAAATGGGGAATCGTGACCTGGATATCCCCCCATTACCACCATTGCCACCTCTTCCACCTCTGGACAGATATCGTGAAGATAGGTGGAGGGAGGATAGGAACAGAGATCATTATGACAGAGACCTCCGAGACAGGGGGGAGCTCAGGATTCGAGAGTATCCAGAGAGATATGACACATGGCGGGAGAAGCAGGACTACCTTCCTGAAAGGACTGACTGGGAGAGAGAACGATTGTCGGACAGGTGGTATCCAGATGATGGAGACAGACTGCGATCTTTGGATGATCGTTCAGATTCATCCCTTCCTCTGCCTTCGCATTCCTCTGATATTCTGGGAGCAGATTCAAACCTGGACTCTGACCAGTCCTTGGGAGGAGTGATGGTCTTTAGCCAAAGACAGCATGAGATAATTCTGAAGGCTGCCCAGGAGCTCAAAATGCTTCGGTCAGTTACCTTGTTCTGTCTCTTTGGGTGGGAATCCCATCTTTCTGTTTCATTCCTTGACTTACACAGTAATGGCTTCATTCCTTTTCTCCACAGCATGGTAGTAGGAGCTCAAGTGGAAAAAGTTATTTGGAGTACCTCCATCACAGCTTTTGTGGATGGATGTTTTTTTTCTTAAGTAGTTATTTGTCCCTTTCCCCATGAATACTGTATTCCCTCTTTCTTACTTTCCAGGAAGAGACCCGTCCATGTCACCTGACCATTTTTTTGATTATCCTCAAGGGAGCTCGTTGATAATTGCTTTTTAATACTAACCTGTCAAGATCTGCATTAATGTGGTTCTTAATTCACACAATGGGACCTATCTCATTTTTAATCTGATTTTTGAATACTGCTTGCTTTTTAATTAAAGCATATGTGGTTGTGGTTTTTTTCCTTTTTACAGTGCTCCCTCATTTGAAACCAAGCATCAGCAGTGAATAATTTTGCCATGTTTGGTTTAATTTTAGTTCTGAGGGTTAGTGTAACAGCAGTGATAACCGTTTTTCTTTCCTTTGAGCCAACAGTTGTACTAGTAGTGTGGTACATAACTGCTTTTTATCTCCAAAGGTAAAGCCTTCATCTGGCTTTGCTTTTACTGTGTATGAAACATCATACTTTGAGCTGCATGCTGTTCTGTACTTGTCATCCGGTGTATTTTTCCTACACCAGGTGTAAGAAGACATAAGTGCTAGCAATTGCTCACTTTATTCTTTCCACTAATGCAGCACGTGGGATCCCTTTCTGTGAGCCAAGTTCCACTTGCGCTGAACACTCAACAGATGCATTGCTAGTCAGGATGGTCTCTGTTGGACCTACTACAGAGGGATCCCATTCTTAATTTTTCTTTGGGAACTACTTTAATACATGCAATTAATATGAAAAAAAAAATTAACAGTTAAAAATCCTAGATGAAAAATTGCTAACCAAAAACTGAAAGGAAAGGAAATTATATTGAAAATAACTTTGTGATCCAATGGCTGTAGTATTCACCAGTGGTCCTGGTCTGTGCTCCATCGGCTATGTATTGATTGTATATTAAATAGCATTTTGATATGTAAAACAAGGAAACAAATCACCATTTGGTTTTTAAATATTGGAAGCTCTGTTGTGCTTTGTTGGTCTTAGTCCTGTTAGCGTGCAAACCAGAGCAAGTCACTGAGAGCACTTATGCACACGTTTCCAGTGGACTTCTTATTTGCAAAAATCCAGCTTTGCTCTTTACTGTCGAAGGGGAGCGGTTCTGGCCAAGCACAAAGTTGTAACTCCATGTTTTGGGAAACGTGATCGTATACTAAATACATCCATGGTTAGGTGGTTGTGAAACAGCGATTTCTGAATCACAGCATTGACCGTGTAAAGCCTGACGTGTATTTTTCTACTTTGAACTTGTGCCCTGATGCTAGTGTAATACGTGGTTTTCACAGTGAGTGTTGATTTCTTTATTTTTCATTTAAGCTACGGACTGATAATGCTTTCTTGTGTTTCATATGCAGAGAGCAAAAAGAACAGCTACAGAAGCTGAAAGAGTTTAAACCTGACATTTCCACACAGGACTCTCCAAGATCACAGAGCACAAGCACAAGGCCCGGTAACTTTCAGGTAAATCTGTCTACTGTTAACATGCTGGTACTAATTACTATTAATTTGTATGTCGGATCAGTTTTACATTCTGATAGTCAAACCTCTCTCTGGAGTGCCTTTCCAGCAGCCCTTACAACCTCCTCAATCTTCTGTTGAGGCAAAGCAACTTCTTAGTTTCTTTAGATTTTCCAAAACCTTTCCCACTCACTCAGTCTGCCGTGTCTTCTGAGCATGACCCACTGGGGACAGTAGCGCATGAGGTTCAACAGCCCGGATTGCTGTGGGATGATGTGCAAGAAGAGGTGAGCTCTTCCAAAATGGGTATAAGGCTCATGGGAAGACCCTCCTGTTCCTTGCCTAAGCTCTGACATCTTACTCTGTTTTTCTCACTTTAAGAGCTCTTTCCTCTTTGAAGTTAGGCAAGTTTGTGGATAGGTCCACCAGAAACAGATATTTCAATGTAGAATGGGCATTAGCTTTCTGTTTGCTGTCTTTACTGGAAATTCTGGAATCTCAGGCTACTTCATCCATCTGCCTAGAAGTATCCAAACAACTCTCGTCTTTCTTGGGATTTCTGCTGTGACTTTGAACTGTTATTACAAAGTTTGTCTTTGTATCTACAACCATTCTGCAAGTTTTGTTGCATGTTGTTAATAAGGCTGCCTGTAACTTGGCATCTGCTGTGGTGCTGAAAAGACTCTTGTGACACAGCACGTGGGGTTCCGTGGGGATGTTTGGTTCATGAAGGTTTTTGTTTTGTTTTTTATCCACTGGGCAAGACCTCCCTGTGTCTTTTGTTGAACTGATGTTGATTTCATTAAGGGGTTTCCAGGTGTTTCTGCTCTCTGGGAATTTTTTCCAGTGGCTTCCAGAAGCTGGCCTTGTCAGTCTTTTAGTGCCTCACCAAGCTGCCCCTACTTTCAGCTTTTTTAAACCTCCTGGAATGTTTGCAGACAGCAGCAGTCCTTGCAGACCGCAGGAGTCTTTGGGAATAAAACCGTAGGTACTTTTGAAATGAGATATGTCTACTGGAGCTTAAATTGGTAAGGTTATTTGAAGGAGAAAATAAATAGTATTTTTAAGCCTTCACATGGTGAACAAACACCAAATTAATTCAGGCCACCAGTTCTTGGAACATTGTCCTCCTGCCTGTAGCACCTTGATGGAGGTACTAGAAAATGCTTATGATTTGATTACCGATTGCCATTGTGCTTACTGACTTACAGAGGATGAGAGAGGGCTAGTTTACAGATCTACACTGATAGTGCTTTCTGCATCTAGGTCTCTTCTCAGCTGTCTTCAGAGGCACCAGTAGAAGCCCAAGCTAGCCCTTCTCCTGCTGTTATTATAAAGCCTCCCGTGTTGTTCAGACAGCCCACCCCTGTGACGAGACCAAGTGCCCCACTGGCAAGGCCTGCTACACCTATGACAAGGCCACATGCTCCAGTCTCTACTACAACTACAACCCCAAGTCATGGTCAGTCTTTAAAACCATCACCTTCTACTGTGGAACAGGAACGCTGGGATGAGGATTCTTTCCACGGACTCTGGGACACAAATGAGGATAAAGGAGCAAATATGGAGTACGAGTTGTGTAAACAGGAGTCAATGATGCCTCCACCCATCTCCTCACCTGCGAAAGTATCTGCCGTTCACACCTCTGTTTCATCAGCTGTACCAGTGTCCCTTCCTCCAGTTATTCCACCGGTTCCTAAAGCACCTGTAATTCAGCAAACCGTGGATTATGGCCACGGGAGAGGTGGGTGATTGTTTGATCCATAATGGAATGCTAATTAGTCCTCCTAGCTGCTTTCTAAAGGAGTGTGCCATGCAAAACCTGCTGTGGGCGCTCGACGTTGTCCCGTAGGCTACACACATTGCGATCTAATGCCAAGCCATGCAGATTTAAGGAGTCCTTAACCTCCAGCCTTGAGTTTAATGTTTTCTTCAGTGCTGTGATAACGAGCTACTTTGTGTTCATTGAATGGTGCATAGCCACGTCTGCTTCTGATAAATGCCAACTGATGTGATCACATCAGTGTGTTAAATTTAGATCTATATGGATACTTTCCCTTAATCCCTTTTAGGAGAGTATGGAAATAACTGCTAGAAAGTAGTTTGGATTGTTACAGTTCTTAGTTGTGGCTTAATGACTTAAAGCAGAATGTGACTGGTGTTTGCATTATTTGTGTACTGCTTAGTGGGTGTGAGGCACCCTCTAAACAGGGAGGGAGACAAAGTCCTAGGTCTGAAGGCCGTGCACCCTAAACAGACATTGAACACACAAACAGTGAAGGGCTCTGACTTTTAGTGTTGAGCTGGTCAAGCTAAAATGCAACACTATTTTTTTAATAGAATTAATTTTCCTCATTCTTAGCTTTTAACAGGAGTGACATCATGTTGTAAAGAAGTTCTTAAGTTGTGCATTGTCACATAGAGTGGGTTTTTTTTTCTCTCTAAGGCTCCACAACATGAATTGAAGCCATATTGAATCCATTAAGTAGATGTTTTACTAAAACCTGTTAGAAAAATTGTCACTGTTAGGAACATAAAGGGAACATTTCAGTTAATATTCTTGACATTACGGTAGTCCTATGAATTATTGAAACTTTCAGAGCATTTTAATGTTTATAATCTTCTGGCCATGTGTGCTACCTGAACGCAGATAAAAAGGCAGAAGTCCCATTCTTAAGGTAGTATGCATACTTAAACACACACACACGCTTCAGCCTTTCAAACTTATGGTACTGTGTGTTTATTTGTAGCTCTTTTTGCATTATTCATTATAAGAAATTTTGGTAAGTTATTCCAGTCACTTTTAATGCCATTGACTCATTACTGTTTATAACAGAGAAAAGGAAATGGAAGAGGGATATTGTAAGACCTTTATTTTTTTTTTAATTATTTTTGACCAGATATAACCACCAGTAAAGTGGAACAGATTCCATACGGGGAGAGGGTAACGCTGCGTCCAGAACCTCTGCCGGAGAGGCAAACATTTCAAAAAGGTAAGGAGCACTTGGCTAGCTCTCAAACAGTTAAGTAGCTCTTAAGAAAAGTTGTGAGGCACAAAAAGTGTATTTTAAACTCAACAGTTCTTGTTTAAGGTAGAACCACTTTGTTTTATTCAGAGGCCCGTAAGAATGAGCAGCTTATATTGACAAGAGGAGTAATGCAGTCAATGACCTAGCCATTTCAAAAACTCAGTTTCATATCTTTAAGTAGAATTCCATAGTATGGTTGTCTGTTACAGTTTGGAAAAGAGATTCAGTGGCTTTTTAAGTCCCTTCTCACCCTCACATTGTAGGCTTCTATGTTCTTTTCTTGCACTCGTTTGTTGCTGTTCCTTCAAAAATCATATAAAATTCAGAGTATGTTCTAGGAGTTTGGATTTCCATGGGTTTCTCCTTTCAGAGCACCCTGGTCGTTACAACAGAGAGAGAGATCGCGAACCTTATTTTGAGCGTCAAGGTAATTCCAACACAGATCATCGGGATTTCAAGAGAGACCGGGAATTGCACAGAGATCGTGGTTCTGCGGACTGTGAACGAGAGAGATTTGAAAAAGATCGGCATCCACGAGATGATAGGTGTGTGGTTTTGGAACACTGTTGAAATCAGTACAGTTCAGGCCGTATTGAGTATCAGGCTGCCTGTTTTGCCTCCGTCGTACATGTTCCTTTCTCTCTGGAATATGTAGTAGGAATTCTCGAAATACACAAAACACTCTTTTGGCAGGGTTCTTCCTACTACACCTTCAAGGACTCAGTCTTACCGTGACAAGAAAGACCACCCTTCCTCCAGGCGGGGTGGTTTCGAAAGACCACCATATGAACGAAAGACAGATCGTCCAGCATATGATCATGGGCCTTCTATGTTTGGAGGTACAGTTGCTCCATCTTGAAGCCATGCTAGAATATTATGAAAAATATGGAATCGCAGAGGTGAAGATTAATTGGGAGAAGGTTAATTGATTTGCAGTATTTCTTTGTTTAAAATATATAGTTCAGGGAAATTTATTTGGGCAAGGCCGTGTAGTTTTATTTCTCAGTGGTGGTGAGATCAGGAATGCAAGAGTTATATACGCCTCTAAAAAATGTCTTTGATTGCAATAGGTTCAAGATTAGAAATTTGGATTATTTTGGGTACAAATATGTGAATTTATCATAAAATAATGAACATCTGTTTAAACCAGCTTAGCTGGGTATGAACATCTTAATTTTTTTATTTTACTGAACTAAGAAAATTCTTCTGTCCAAACACTGGAATTTGAAGGTGATCGTAGAAATTACTCTGAGGAAAGGATTCCTATTTCTGCTCCATCAATTCCCCGTCAGCCACCACCTGCTCCACGTGTGGAAAGGAAGCCAGAATCTAAAAATGTAGATGATATTCTGAAGCCACCAGGGCGGGATAGCAGGCCAGAGAGGGTGAGTATGCATTCTGAAAGCAACAATAGGTTTCTCAGAGGTCTGTATTCAGATGAAATGCTCATGAGCGTAATGTGTTGGGAACAAGCCTACATTTGAGGAAGCTCTGAAAACTCTTGGTTCCTTTGCAAATGCCTAGAGTGTTATAGTGTAGGTATTAGGAGTCCTTTCCCTGTCTCCAGTGGAGGAGGAGATTTGGAGGAAAAGACAGGGAAACTCATGGATTGAGACCAGAACAAATGATAACAGGTGCTCACCACCTGCTGACCGATATCCAGCCAGGTCCCATGTAGCAAGAGTCAGAGCCAGAGAGATCACACCACAGTCAGAGTGAGGCCCTGCGAGCAAGAGGGCGACTGAGACAGCCAACCAACATGGTCCCCGGCCCACTCCCAACTTACACTGAGCATGATGTTCTATGGAATGAAATATCCTTTTGGTCAGTTTGGGTCAGCTGTCTGAACTATGTGTCCCCCTCAGCTGCTTGCAGTGAAGTAGTTGGGAACACAGGCGCAGTATCAGAAGCTGAAAAATTCCTTGAATTGGTACAAATACTCCTCAGCAACAACTAAAAACACCAGTATTATCAATACTCAGCACAAATCCAAAAGAGCCACATACCAGCTACTGTGAAAAAAATTAACTCTGTCACAGCTAAAACCAGCACACATGGTACTGGTTTTGCTTGATATGCAAAAGTGAGCCCAGAGCATGTAATTTTCTAGTAGAGTTTTGCAGAAGTGATTGTTAAATGTCGGACAATATCTTACCTTCTTACCTTCTCTTTGTTTCAGATTGTAATCATAATGAGAGGGTTGCCTGGCAGTGGAAAGACACATGTAGCAAAACTCATCAGGGTATGTGAACAGCCGCTTGCTGTGTGGTGCTGCTTGTCTTTCATGTGTTTCCTCTGCTGTTTTCTTTCTGTGTGTCTGGAATTTCAGCCTGTTGTTATTTCACGTTCCATGTCTTCATACGGCATGCGACTCCCCTCCACTATTAAGCAAGCTTGAGGGATACTGCTCTCTTCTTGTTTTGAATGTGGAGCAAAACTTTGCCAAAAGTGCTTTGAAGAGCCGCTGTAGCGGAACAGAGTTTTTGCAGCAATAGTGTATATTTTCCTTTTGTTTTCTTCCCAGGATAAGGAAGTAGAGTGTGGAGGACCTGCACCAAGAGTGCTCAGCCTGGATGACTATTTTATCACTGAAGTGGAAAAAGAAGAGAGAGACCCAGATACAGGGAAAAAAGTGAAAAAGAAGGTAATCTTAATTCAGTTGCTTATCTCGACAAAGAAAGAACATTCTAGAATGTTCAACACAGTGGCAATCAGAATTTCAGTCTGTGGCTTTGGAAGAGTGCAGAGGTCTGCGAGCTGTTTTTCAGAACAAGTCAATGTAACTTAAGGGCAGAATGGGCAAATTATTGAAAGTTGACCTGGAAGACATTTTTCTTATACCAACATACTTTGTGGTCGTGACATTCAGGAGTTGAACATCAGCAATCTAATAAGTGTTCTTTTTCTTAAATGCTTTTGTCCTTGATAAAGGTGATGGAGTATGAATATGAAGCTGATATGGAAGAGACTTATCGTACCAGCATGTTCAAAACTTTCAAAAAGACCTTGGATGATGGCTTCTTCCCCTTCATTATCCTTGATGCTATCAACGATAGAGTGCGACATTTTGAACAGTTCTGGAGCGCTGCAAAAACCAAGGGTTTTGAGGTAATGGAGCCTAAAAAGCATTCGAACTCACTAGTGTCTGTACGCTAAACTTTGTTACTAAACTTTGCTGTGGTCTGCAGTGACAAATTTACCTTTCTTAGAATGTACAGCTGCAGAGTGTATCACCAGGTAGAAGAAGAGCTCTAAAAATTGATTTACAATATTTAATATTGTCTTTCTTTTTCTAGGTGTACTTAGCTGAAATGAGTGCAGATAACCAGACGTGTTCCAAGAGGAATATTCATGGACGCAAGCTAAAGGAAATCAGCAGGGTAACTGTATACATCTGGAACCATAGGATTAATGATAGGTTTCATTGTGCTTTCAGGCTTGCTGTCGTTGGAAAACTATTGACCCCTTTCAGGCTATATAATGCTTACACTGTTCCTCTAAGAAGAGCTGGTAGTTATGTCACATGATTGTTTGAAATTACTTAAATACAGATACATCTTGTTTGTAATCAGAAACCAAATTTTCCGTTGAATCTGTTAAATTTTTAGAGTGCTTCATATTTGTTTCTTTTTGTTAGATGTCTGATCACTGGGAGGCAGCACCACGTCACATGATGCGCCTGGACATTCGTTCTCTGCTGCAGGATGCTGCTATCGAAGAGGTGAGAGTCTCTGTGCCTGTTTAAATTACACATTATGTAGATGTGACTGTACTGAAAATACAAAGCAGAGAAAGGTATGATCACAACGTGACAGTTAATTGTGGCACTGTTGAAAGCCAGAATCACTGTGTCAGACAAGTGTATTCCATTGTTCTTATCAGTTACCAAAATATGAAGGTACATGTTACTTTTCATCACCTTTTTGGAGCCCAGACTTATGCATCTTTGAGCAAGAGATGAAGCCACTTTGCTCGTAGCAACTGTTGAGTACCAATTAAAGAGTAACTTCTCTCTCTCAGATATGAAACTCAGCACTTTTTCAGGTTACTGAATTAATTGGATCATAATTTGAGGAAGTAGTTTGACAAAATCAGTAAGCAAATAAACAAGTCTGAACTCCTCCTTGGTCCCTGCTTTGAGAAATACAGACCTCTAGCAGAGGATGAAGAAATAAGTTACATGCAGCAGAAGGTTGCACTTGCTGTAGAAGTATGCTACCTTTTTATTCCATTTGCAGTTCGCTGTGACGTGCGTCTTTGGTGTGACAGCTCTCTGTATTGTTGCATTCTTCTTTGGCAGATGTTTCAGGAGCTCTGGGAATAAATTAGTATGGTAATCATGTGGTCATCGTGAATGCACCATAGCTGCATGTTGCTGTCAGAACAGCTCTTGTCACAGCCATAGAAACTGGGGAACTGCTGAAGTAGGAAGAGAGTTTACTCTTGGCAGTTTGTCATGAGGTCAGCAGGTTATTTTTGTGTCTCCAAATTCTGTGTGTCAGGAAATAGTAATCTTCAAGAGGACAGCAAAAGGCTCAGCTCTCAAGCAGACTTAGAGAAGGGCAGATTTGGGATTTACTTTGTTGTGCATCAAGGTTTTACTGTTGGTATGAAGAACTGTACACACTTGGAGAATTTTAGGTGTTTAGATGGCACAAAGAATGTAAGTGAAGGAAGAGAATAAATGACTGCTACTTTCCTGCACAGTTTGTTACTCTAGTTACAAGGGAACCTGCTTCTGAGGGACGCCAAAATGGAGACAGTATTCATATATATTGCATCACTGTGCTTTCCAAGATGAATCCTTTCTCTTCTATTTGAACTTGGAATCTTCTACTTACTCTACTAAAGATAATACATAGAAGTCAAGCAGTGCCCTGTAAGTCTGTGTTTGTGCTTTGGAACAGGTCGAGATGGAGGATTTTGATGCAAATATTGAAGACCAGAAGGAAGAAGTCAAGAAGGATACAGCAGAGGAGGAAGAAAGTGAACTGGTAGGAGACATATCAGCCATCTCTAACAAAATGTTTGTTAACGTGTCTGAGGGAGAATCTCAGTGTGACAAATGCCAATCTGTTGCCATTCTTAGCAGTGCGATCTTAATACACTCATTTCTAGTTGTTTGCTCCTTAAGCATTTCTAGGAGAACTTTAATGTTAAATCATATTATTCCTAACTGGATTTTTTTATGAATCTGTGAGTATATGCCACAAACAGCATTATCAGTGGAGTGTGGCAACATGTCTCTTACAGACATTTTCAAGTTGCAGTACACTATAGCGCTGTCTTCCTGTCTAAGAATTACACTAAGTGGAGGGATGGGAAGAACGGGCAAAGATTAATATAGCTTATTTCCTTTCACATGCTTAAAGAACTCTTTATGACAACAGTTATGAAGACGAGTGCTTTTTCTGCCTTGGCTCTCTGACTCTGGTTGTCAGTAGGTACTTCCAAGATGAGGGATTAGGTCTTTGGGTAAACGAAGGTTAGAGAATTGCACTGAGGGCTGGTGTTTTTAGGTATGTATTTAAAAGGCTACAGAAGGCTTCCTAATGTAGCTTTTTGGTATGTGTTGGAGCTGCAAATGGTCAGTGCTTGATGAGTTGAATGTGTCGAACCCTGGTTCCCACAACCAAGCAGTTAAACTCCAATAAACAGGAAGTAACCAAAAAATGTCTATCAAAGTCCTTTTTCATGATGGAAATTTACTATTCCTCAGGAGTGGCAGTTTAGAAAGCAGTTGAAATACAGAATAATAAAAAACTACAGCTTAGGAAGAGTGGATTTTAATAAATACCTTTTTTTTTGCAACGTGACTCATTTATTCTCTTTTAGTAAATTATTCTTTGGCACAGAGTATGAGACTGCATAAAGTGTGGTTAGAACATTTCAAAGAGACATCCATGTTTATGGCTGCTAGTCTCATTTCTTGGAAATGAGCTATATCTAGAAGAGAAAGTTGTCTTTTAGCTTTTGAGACTTCTGTACATAAGTGTGTGTGTGTTTTTCTGGGCTCTGGGGAGTGTCCTAATGTTCAGCACATATAACAAGAGGCCTTTTCTTTATGAGACAAGGAGAAAGCTTGGTGGTGAAAACTATGCAAATTATTAATAACTAAAAGTAATCTCCGTATACGAATGTTTTCTATTCAGATTCACAAGAGATTGAAAAATAGCAAAGAATCATCTGCTGTATGTAATCTCTGCTATTCAGTCACATGGCTAATCTCAGAGAGGTATGTCAGATAGCAAGGTGGAACAGTACACTCTATTTGGTATCAGTTGTCTTCTTGAGAGCAGTTGGTAAGGTTCTTCAGTTCATTTTGCTGCGTTTAATCCTGTGTGAAAAGAGAGGTCTGAAGCTCCTGCCATCTGGCAGATGTCCTCAAAATATCCAACTGTCTCGTACCAAAGGATGAAGTCTGAATCTTTTCTTATCCTATCTGAGGACCGGGATATTGTACAGATTCAGCACACAATAGGCCATTTCACACCATCAAAGTCACTCTTTTGTTGCTATTATCAACTGCCATAAGGTTGTTTGTAGCATTCAGACAATTCTTGCTTTTTCTGTGCTTGATGGTATGAATTACTGATGCATTTAACTTAAGTGTTCTCACCAATGTATCACACATCACTTTGTTCAATACAAACTTCCAGCTGTGGTGTAAACTTTCTGAGCAAATTTAATGTGCAGTTTTGTTTAAAAGTATAAATACACATATATACATGAAGTTGGTTTATTTGGTACAAGGCAATACTTCAGCACAAACTGTCTTAGTTTATATGAATTACAGACTTGACTAAAAGCAACAAAATCTCAAGTCACTGATACATGTTCGATAGAAAAAAAGTCTTTCAAGGATTTTGGTAGAACATAATCAAAAGCAGTGTAGCTCTCTGGAATAGTAGACTCTGATTTAGTAACCCTTAGCATTAACAGATACACATATATGTTTGCCACAGTGGAGACAGCTTATAAATAGAACAGGGAGAAGTTAGTGTAATGAAACTGGTCTGTGGATTGTTTGCTTTCTTGTTGAAATCTTCTAGAGTAGTTCTTTTTCCCTCTCTACTAAATATCAGTCTTAAAATAAAATTCTCACAGGGGTTCCATTTCACTACATTGAGTTTTATATGTGATTGCAGAGGAACATGAGTAGTTTTATACCACATCTGAACAGCTGAAATGAGTTGTGGGGTTGCTTAGTATAAAATGAAAAGATAACAAGATGATATCTAAAATAAATACCTTTTTGCCAAATTGAATATTACGCTCATTTACAAGGAATAAACCAGCTGAAGATCGTTACATGCAAAACGCGTGATGTTGTTATTTGTAAGCAGAAAGTGTTTTAAAAGAATCTTGAGCTAAGGGTTATTTTAAAATGAAAAATAATACTTAAATCTTAGTGATTCAGCAGATAACTTTTATTTAAACCACAGAAATAAATTTGTTCAGTTATGGACTAACCACTCGTACAAGAATGCAGTATGTCCCTTTGACAGGAGTCTCAAGTGAAGCTTGTACGTAGCAAACCTGGGATATATTCTTAAAAGCTTACGACTACAGTAATTTTCATTTGCCTTTGTGAAATTTTGCACGTTCATTTAGTCTGATAAGTTGTATCTCAGTAACTTTGCCACCTGGGACAAGGTAATACAGTAACTGTGCACACAGCGCCCGTGCTGTCTGTTAGACTTACTCTGTAACTCTCTTGTTTGTGGAGGGCAGCACTCTTGTGATGATTTGCAAGGGCTGCTGAAGTCGCTGAGTGGATGTGGAAGTTCTGAAATGCTGAGTAATTTGTTTCCTTCACCTGATAAGAATTGTGCCTTACAAAAAGAAATACCTTGAGCTTCCATTATAATGCTGTTTCCAGTTCAAAAGTGATGTGCATGTGTGTCTCTCTCTAATCCTCCGAGCTTCTTTCTGTGTATGATTTAGGGTTACATTCCGAAAAGCAAATGGGAGATGGACACTTCTGAGGCAAAGCTAGGTGGGTATTTATTTTTTCCTGTTTCTTATAGTTGGTATCTGATGATGTTTGCAAAAGCTGAATTTTCGTTTTTACTGTGCCTCCTTACCAAAGTCAAATAAGTGTATTGATCTCGTACACGTGTCGGAAACTGCGAAAACATCTTTACAGAGAAGGAGCTTGTCTTCTGCCAGAGGCAAGGCAGTTACGACCTGCTAACCATCGCTGTGTTATATACTCATTCATTGTTCTTCCATCTGTTAAAGAGAAGTGCTTTGTCTTAAAATTTTAAACGAGTATTTCTATTCTTTGTTCACCTCTTGGTGTTATAAAAAGCAAAGACTCGGCTTACATTGCACTGCATTCCTGTTCATACTGTATACCTTTTTTCCAAGCCTAAATGTCGTCAGTAACTTCTTACTTTCTCGGAGACGTGCCTAGTAGCTAACTGTATCAAAGACATTTCTCACTCTCGGTGAGGACAAAGTAGTACCATGCTTTGATGTTGGTTCTGAATGATCAGGCCTCGGTGTATCTTTTCAGCAAGTTGGGTATTGAAAAGTCAAAGTTTGTTATGCTTTTCAGTTCCAGGAGACTGCTAGAATTCTTCTTTGCAGGATGCAAAACGGACTTTCCAAAAGCACAAGAGCACTATTTTTGCTGCACTTTTTGTTCTGATTAGTGCTGCTGGTTGCATTAGACATAAGTGCTAATATTAGGATCCTATCAAAACCAAAAGCAGCTTTCGGGCCGAAACGCATGCGCCACGGCAATGGTGGAAGGTGTACGCGTAGAAAGGGGTCTCTAGTCGTTATGATCAGTTTGGGGTTTTTTACTGAATAGTGATGGTTCTATCAATGCAATCTGCAAGATTTATCAATGCAGTCTGCATAGAACTGCTCTTTTCTGTCATATCTTTGAGAATTAACAAATACCTGAATGGGATGCAGCATGTCTTAACGATCTGAGGTTTACTTCAGCATGTGTGGTACAACCCTATGTCTCATTACTTTTCAATAACCGAAGTCACGATTGCACCATAGAAATAGCATTAGAAGTTCTGGCTCTCATAAAGCAGCCTTTTGTCTCTTGCTGTTAACCGCTCAGCTGCACCATCTCTTCTGCTGCTATGTTCTCTTTTAAGTCATTTAAATACTTGTGGAATATATTGATGTAGTGGCACCTGCAGTACAACTGTAGGAGCCTTGTACTCCGTGATTCCAGCACATCAAACAGCTAGGTAGTTAGAATTAATTCTGGATTGTTCTGCATTTTTGTTGTGAGAGTCGATTGCTTTAATGTATTATTTCTTAAGTTTATGATGGTTTATTTTCCCAATCATGTATGAAATCATGGTACTGGAAAGCTGCGTTGTTGAAGAATGCGGTGATACATTGTGTCGTATTCCAAATAACATAGACTCTTCTTTAAATACTGAGGTGCAGGAAGAGATGCGATGCACTGCATACGGTGAACTCTATATCATTCCTTGCGTTTTGCAAATGTCACAGGAGTACAAAGTGTCTTCTGAAACTATTTATGTGCAGTGTCTAGCAATGTGGAGACTGTGACTGCAGCAGAAATTCACAGAGGGCTTTCAAAATTTACCTCTCTCACAATCAAATACTCCTAAAATAGAAACAAAGAACTGTTGTGTTTCTTTCCATGCTCCGTAACATAAACCACAGGATTTTTACGTGATCTCCACTTAAATGTGAAATGGGGAGTGAACAGCAGAGTCATTTTTCTGCTAGAATAAGTTACTTGCAAGGCTGTTGCAATACTCTTTTAACAATCAAACTCCATTAACAAACTGGATGTTAGAATGCTGCAAGGCACACACAGGTGCTGAGAAGGTTTTTCTATTAAATCTGTATTTATGATTTTACTTTTGTAACTACCCTCTAGATTAATTTTTAGAAATATATAGAATTAAAGATTAAATTCTGACAGAACATACATTTTTAGAAAGCCAAGCATTCGTACGTAATGAATGTGGTTTCTTTGACAAATTGCTCTGCAAGGGCAGACAACCTTTAGGTCAAGGTATGCATTACAAGCACTTGCAGTGTGTGAGTAAGATTTGCTGTATTGAATTCACAATGAGATTTAGTTGTAGATGACCAATTAAAATTATTTACTGAGAGGCATGTAAACTGTGGTATGCATTTGTTGTCCCAAAGCCGAGTTACTTCCTGGGAGCTGGCTTGCCCATTAGGTTTGTTGCATTAGTCCCAGAGGGCACGCGTTTGCAGAAGTGATACAAGTGCAGGATCCAAAACCAGCACTGTAAGTCTTGGTTTGCTTTTTTGCTTTCTTTCTGAGTAGATGTGGTTACAGGAAAGCACAATAAGATCTTACCGATTGTAATAAACCCCAGAAAAGGTCCTTTAGCCGCAGTGCGGACTTGGGGCAGTCACCATACCGTCCACCCCCAAGCTTTTGCTTTAATTCAGATTTACTTTGGCAGGGGTGATGCATTCCTCTGAGTATGTGTGTGGTGGTACATCCTTTCCTTATGTGTTGTGAGTGCACAGCCACATTTTTGTTCTAAAGACTGGTCTGTCTCAGTGCATAGTGCACACGGGTTCTTGCAGTTAAATTTACAGAAATGGACTCACATTTTAAAAACTTGACAATATTCAAAGTGTTTAGCGCAATACTCTGTTTCAAAGTGGGCTTAATGGTGAGTTCTGTAAACTTTCAGGAAAGGAGAAATGAACTCTGGCATAGCTGAAGCTTGATACCATTGTAAAATTTGCTCTAGAGTGCAAGTGACATTTAAGTAAAACCTTGTGGGGACAAAAATTGAGCTGATACATTTATTTTTTGAAGGAGCAAATTAAGTCAGTTTCTTTCAGATGCTTTATTATTAAAATTCTAAAGGTGAGTTTTTACGTTATATGGATTTTCAGAAATGTTGCTTCTTCATTGTTTTTAACATTGAAATGGTAAAATGTTGTTTGATAGTTTAAAACTGAATAATCATCTGCCATAAATATTCACAAGCACTGTTGTCACAAAATGACACCTTCTCTCATTTTCAGAAAAGAATATTCTGAAATAATGCTTTGTGGTAGGCTTTTGGCATTTCTGTCGAGTGTGTCTACTGCATGGCACATGTACCTTGAACCACGGTAGTGTGGATGGAAGCAGATTCCTCTGGAAAGGCAATCCAACTTCAAACACGGAAGGAGATAACGTTTTAAAACACATTTTGTGTAGCAGCAACAAAAAGGGACAGAGGGGGAACCTCACGCTCCGAACGCCTCCCGAGCTCCTCTGTTGATGTTTGAGCCACGCGGTTCTTGGCGATGGTTTCAGTGGCTCTGCGCGCTGCAGGGAGCGGGAGGCTGAACTCTTCTTCCACACTGGTAACGAGACGAGCGTCCATCGTAGCCTGTTGCCTTCCGACAGGAATATGTCTGTGTACCGACACTTGCCGACAGGAGCGCTCCTGAATTTTCAGTTCTTCATGTTCCTTCATGCTCCTCAGTGTGTGTGTTTGCTCTCCTTTTCAATGTCCTTTTTTCCTGGAAGTCCTTATGGTACGAATTATCTACACTGATTGGTCTGAGAGTAATACTGAGGAGTAGTGCAAATACGTTATGTGCTGGAGTAACACAGGGATACTGTATAAATCAACTTTGTCTTCTGGAGGGAGTGCTGGCTTTCTGTGGAAACTGAGCTTCAAATTTGACAGATTTAACTTAGAGCAAAAGAACCACCTTAGCTGAATCGTGTAACAAGATATCGTGTAACAGATGCAAATGTTCTGCACAGTTTTCTTAAATGTTGACTTTTTTTAAAAGGCAGAGGTGGGTTAACATGTTTTCTAAGAAATATTGTATCTGTTCCAGGGAAATGGGGCAAAGCTGGAGTCTTTAAAAATCTGAGAGTTGTATGAGGGAGAAATAACTTCATTAGTTTATGGCATTTAAATTATACTAGCATGTCTCCTTCACCATTGCCTCACATTATCTCTGTTGTTGCTCTTTCCTCTCCCATACTAAGTAAAAAACCTCATCTCTGAACTGAGCTTCTTTACATACATACCTTTGAACATCCTCTTCTGCTATCCAGAAAATATGCTACCTTGGATTTGGTTTATTTCTGAGGCCTTTTGTGAGTGAATTTAATTATATCAGTGACTTCTGAAACATTACTGACATTGCTGGAAATGGTTTACAGAAAATAACTTCCAAGCTCAGTGTTCCTTCTGCATCTACTTAATTAATGTTGGCTCTATAAGATGGCAGCGTGTGTTGACGGAAGTGCTAGGGTTTCCTTTGACTTGGGAAGCCGTTCTTCATTTTCATGCTTTGTTGTTCATAATCTTACAATGAGTACTTCATCTCCTTTCCAAACACAGTTTGCCACATAATTTCAAGAAGGTGGTGTTTTTTCACTGAAAATAAGTGTCCAAAGAGGAACAAAATTTTAGGACCTAGGAATGGAATTGTTTCTCCTCATGCCTTACCGGTTCAATAAGAAAAAGAAGAGAATTATGACTGTTGGACAAACGTACTGCTCACACATTTGTGACTGACCTCTTACACCATGAAATAAAAGATTCTGAGATTATTATTTTTTCCCAGTCCCGGAGGATTTTTTGAGTGTTTTCTCCTTGTGGGGAGAGAAAAAGGAAGAGGGCAAATCAGGGTTTCCAAGGAGCTTTTTGTTTAGCAGAAACAGTATCTCAAAAACTTATCTTTGATGCATTAAATTACATGATGGTCACTTGTTCCCTGATACTGCATGTATGCCATGTTTGACACAGTATTAAACCCCAAATTTGGGAAACACGCTACAGCTTTAGTATTGTGGTCAAATGCAGAACAGGCGGTTCTGTGCTTCCCAGCTATTGGTGGCTCCATCATATCTGTAAGGGAGCCTTATAGAATGAACGTCCAGAAGAGCAAGCCTTTCTCCCTCATACAAATAACAAGACGGAGTGTTAATTGCCACGCAGTTAATGTGAAAGATCAATAAAATTTGAAAATGGTGTTGAGTCTTCTCTAGTTTATTTCAACTCTCATCATCCCACCTGTCAAGACAAGCTGGATGTACAAGTTCTGCTGCTCAGTCTTTTGAAAATCTTTCCACTCTCATCTTGTTTGTGTGAATAATAGAAAAAATTTCTCCTTTAACTCTGAGGCTCTGTGTTTGTTCTCAGACAAGCTGGATGGTTTGCGGACTGGCGCTAAAAGAAAACGTGACTGGGAAGCAATTGCCAGCAGAATGGAAGATTATCTTCAGCTTCCAGATGACTATGATACACGTGCTTCTGAACCTGGGAAGAAAAGGGTAATAACTTTTCAAATGTCTTACTGTCTGTATATGACCATTTAACAGTCCCTTTGAAAAAGTTTGCATCAAGTCATTTGGAGTCTATGAACCTGGCAGCGTCACTGACTCACTCTTCGTTTTGCTGCTCCATTAGATTTTTGTAAGAGACTATTGTTAGGAATAGGGTCTTCCAGAGGTTATCAGATTAATTATCATGAAGTGAGCAATATTAGATAATACAGATTAACTATGTATGGCATGGCTTTTGAGATTGAAAATGGAATCAGGTCCCATTTCTTGCTGAGGGAGATGACACAGGTTGGTTCAGAGCAACCCCTGGAGTTCTTTTCTTATGCTGTAATGTTTTGTGAGGAGAGTGTGTGATACGGATTCCAAGACAAGGCGATGATTTGATTAAGCCATTTTTTTTATTAGGTTTTATAATAGGTAGGCAGAGAAACAGTACACTGTTCTTACGTTCAAAAAGTTTCAGCTGAGGAAAGTAGCGGCTGTGTAGGTTTTATATCAATCAAGTCTTCTAGATGTTACCTCCTGCATGTACCTTGCATAAACCTTTGGGAGATGGTGTATAAGAAGTTAGCTTCAACTGCTTATATGAAGGTCTGTTCTGAACACAAAATGCTACATCTTCAAATACCGTTGTGAAAAACAGGGCAAGAAATCACAGAGGAAGAGGTAATAGGAAGTAATACTTTCTGGTTTGGACACAAAAGAATACCAGCTTTTTTTGAGTTAACTGTTGGTGTTTGGGCTTTCTGTTCTGTAATGCCAAGTAGAAAACAGGGGTAGTACTAGACAGCGTGCACGCGAGAAATGGAGATGCTAAGGTGTTGTCAGAGGAAGTGATGCTGGAAAAGAGTCAGGAATGTCCCCAGCTTACAAATCAGCCTGAGTGGGACCGATCAGTTAGGATGTCAAGGAAGAGCTCTTCCACTTAGTATTTGCTTATCCAGCAGCAGTGTGTTCCAGTGGAGTTTCTGGACTGTAGCCCTTCATCACCTCCCTCCTCCGTGTTGCACTGGGTTTGTGAGTGAGGGAGTGACTGTATGTTTGAACATTATGAATGCAAGTGATCTGAATGACCATGAAGAGCTACAGAGGAGATGGCTGAAGGTGTGAAAATGGGAGATAACAAATGCACCAAGAAGTTTAGTATAAAGAAAGAGTGGAAAGATTTCAATAGAAATGTGTGGCAGGAGATAGAGAAGAAAACTGTCCCTCACTCACTTATTCATTGCTGGGTTGCTCTTTCTGTAATTTCACAGTTGTCTTCTAGATGTGTCCGTTGTGCAATTTAAAGGCAGGTTGCGTGGAAAATGAAGACACCAACTGAATCTTTGATAATTCTTCCTCCAGAAAGCGTTGCTTTGAACAGACAAGTAATTGTAGTAATGACACTCCAGCTCTCAGAATTATAGCATTGAAATAGGAAAGGCTAATCATCTGTACCTTTCTTCTACTCCATAGAACACCTGGGATATTAAATTTAAAATTATGTAACTGGTGTAGTTTCCATCTTTACCTGTTGGAAAACAAATTAATACTTACCTGTTTGAATGAAAATTAGTGCCAACTAGATTTCTTGTACTCTTATCTGCGGTGGAAAGCCTAGACTTGTCTCAGGATGTCTTAAGAGATTGCCCTACTGATAGTATGTTCTCTGTAGGTGCGGTGGGCAGATCTAGAAGAAAAAAAAGATGCAGACAGGAAAAGGGCCATTGGTTTTGTTGTTGGACAAACAGATTGGGAGAAGATAACAGATGAAAGTGGTCATCTTGCTGAGAGAGCCCTCAACCGCACCAAGTATATATGAAAAAGTGGTTAAATGGAATTTTGTGCCTTTAAGGTAAGTGTTCAGTCTTCCTGTATGTTTATTGCCTCAATGTTTTCTAGGTTTTTTTTTAAGAGTTGAGGTTGCAGTTCACATCACCGTTAGAGTTCTCCCAGGCCAGATTACTTGATTCGGAGCCTTGTATGATAGGTGTCAGCCCTGCCCATGTCAGTGTGCACCTTTCTGTACAGCATCTAAAAATAAAAGGAGAAAGGTTGTCAGCTGTCAATCTCCAAACGTTATTAGCAGGAAGATTGCTTTCATTAAGAGAGTAGTGTTAGCTGTGTGCCTAGTCCTGACTAGTTCAGATTTGGCTTGCGATATCTTAACTCTGACCATGTTAATTGCCGCTTTACTTGGCGTAACAAACTTTTCCTTTCTTTACAGGCCATTTGTTCTGAAGAGAAGCTGAACCAAGGTGTCATGAGCATCTTGCATGGGTCATGTCACTCCCACCTTCACAGTTTTTCTTTGTTACTTTAGTTTCAGCAGTTTTCTTGAGATATTGGCAGATAACCAGCGCCCTCAAAAAAAAAAAACAACGGATCCCGCTGCTCCTAAGTGAGAGAGACAGTTTACTTTTTAATATTTTTGGAGGGGAGGGAGGGGGAGGGCCAGTAGTTTTAGCTGCTGTTTGTGGGATAAAGTGGACAGATTAGACAGATGTTACCTCCACTGTACCATTACAGAATGTTTATCACCTTTGCTTTGTGGCCGTTCTCATTTTATACTGTTATGTACCTTGTAGCTTATTGTATTAGGAAGCAGAACAATAAATTTCACTATAAACTTGGTGTTGTTGGTGGACCATACAGCATGGCTTCTGTTTGACGTTTTAAATGTGGTCTGTGCTCGTGTGTTGACAGTGCTGAGAACCGTCCTTACCTGGAAGAGGTGCTGTGCTAATATTCTGGGATGTGTCCTGTCTTCTAGGTTTATTACCTGCTCTTCTCCTGATAGACAGCTCCATTAAGGCCCCAGATTTGCTGGCCTTTAGGAGCCACACCAATCTCATTCCTCCGGGAGAGCAGGAGTGATTGTTATCTTTTGGATCCTAGTTTCTCAATTATGTCAAATTTCCATTACTACGTGAGTATAAATTCTGTTGGACGGCTCTGAAATACTCAAGGTAGTAATGTATGAGAAGCATTTCTTTAACCACCAACTTGATAACGGGTACTATGGAGATCTCTGGAGTGCAGCCTAGAAAAATTCATTTTGGTCTTATTGTGTCTTTTAGTCAACACTGACCCCTATCACGGTATGTCATTCCATTCATAATCTACCGTCTCGTAGAGAAACATCATTAAAAGAAGCAACAAAGACCAGAAGTTACACCCTTCTATTCCTTTAATAAATGCGATTAGCTGGCTAAAAATGATTAAATGAATAGCAGTCCCTGCTATTCAAAATGGTACAGGTGCTTCAAAGATGCTGATAAATTGCTTCTGCACAGCATCGGGTTTGCTGATGAAAACTTTCTTTTGTGTTCTCAGGTTCTGAAGCAGAAGCCTTGTGTTAACAATGTTGTAACCAGGCAAGGTGTTAAAATTCAAAAATAAGTGCTGTTTTACTGGTGAATTGAACTTTTTTTTTTCTCTCCTGATCTTCCTAATGAAGTCCTGAATTTCCCTCTCTGCTATTCTTTGTTGCTCTACTGAGTGATTACGTTGCAGTTTGCGTCTAGGTTGGTAAATCAACTCGTCCTGGTGTGGTGGTAGTTTATGCTGTTAAAGGAGAGCCATAGCACTAACGGATGGGTTTGTTTGCCATTCTGATGCTCTGGTTTCTTGGATGTTGCTCAGCTGTGTCTGTAGTGCATGATTGACAGCTCTTTGGTAAATGAGGGGAATAGCTGAGCTCGTGTTAAGCTCTGAAATGTGTTTAATACCAGAAAATCAAGCTCCCTGAATGCAACTTTTTTTAAATGGAAGGTAATAAATACACATTTTCCTGTGTACACATACTATTATGTAGCATATATAGTTTCTTTTTTAAATGTGACTCTTTGAATACTGGCTGAGAATTGTTGACACAGGGAAATTAATAGTTAACAAAAAAATCAGTGTTGTGTATTGCTGTGGAAATCAGGCAAGCTTCGCTTTGGAAAAGTAACTCTCAGGTATGTGTCAAATGACTTTCGGTCTGTCCCGAGTTGTCCGTAACAGAACTGGAGTTCTTGTGGCACACCATTGTTAATGGGTGGATGTTGTTTCTTGACTTTTAAGAACTGGTAATGGTTTTGTCTGTATTTTTGGTAATACATCTGATCCAGGTCCTCTTCTAACGTTTCATTTCCAGGCTAAATATTATTTCTGGAGCATACAAATGGATAGTGTGTAACAGAACTGCTTATATTGTTTGCTGTTTTTAACAATTTGGAAAATTATTTTAGCAGGTAACACCCAGAGGGGTCACTCTGTGGTGCATGTAGAATTAGAGATGAGCAGAGAATACACCAAGTTATACCTGACTCTGGGAACAGGGAGAAAATGTATCAGTCTTTCGGGCAAAATTTCAGTTATGCAAACTTACTGCTGCAGACAGTTTGTCAGGCTGTTTGATCAGAACAGGACGAAGGGCTTAGTGGTTTTTGTTGTTGGTTTTTTTCCATTTCTGTAGTACAGAAATATTATTCCATAATCTTTGCCTGTTGTTTTCTGTTGGCTTGAATGTTTAGTAGGTCAGTCTTGATGGGAAGCAGTTCTCAAAGAAAATTACTTATGCCAGAACTACCACCTGTAACAGATTCTACATACTCTAGTCCTCCAGTGAATGAAGAAACCAGGCTGAATGGAAAAAATTAATCATGCCTGCTGCCAGAACTGAGAGTAGCTAGGTAGGCCCGTGCTTGGCTCATAGAGGTTGGCAAGTAGTGCTTTTTGCTTTTGTCTGGAAAACTCTTCACTATAAAATCCAGTAAGTTTTGATCCTGATTTAGTTCTTGCTCATCATCTGCTCACTGATACTGGCAGTGGAGTCTTTCACAGCACTGAACAGAAAGCCGTAAATAGGAAAATACGCATCCAGCGCTCACGGATCCATCTTTGACCGTGTGTGCAGTTGTGTTAACGCTGTTGGACTGTTCCTGCGCTGTGCATCACACTGGAAAATACAACTCTGAAAAAATCATCAGCTGCTGCAGAAAAGCTGCTACCTCTTGAACAAAGTTGACTCTTAAAACACTGTTTTCTGTGAATTACAAATACTTATGGCATTTCAGTTTTTCTCAAGATGTTCTGCTTTTTTAAGACTATTGAAACTACCTATCTCATGGGAGAAGTACATGCACGTTTTGCAGGGGAATGTGCAAGCCGAGACATGCTGCTGCTGTGTGAATAGAGCTTAGTTGTCATCTTCAGTCAGCTTGTGTTTTACTGTGGGATTGCTCATTAAACATGGTGGCCTGACTGTGGTATGTAAGAGTGTAAATATAGCATATTATGTCAGTTCTGGAAATGACATGGTTTTCTTAAATGTCTACATCAGTATAGATAAACACCTTACATTATTAGATCCCAGCCTTTAGAAGGGAAGAGTTGGTGTTGGTACAAGTGAGACTTTCATTTTTGACCCATCAGGTTGGGTTGGCATTTTCTGGACTCTGCTTCAGTCAGCTTTGTGAACCCTGTCTGTCAGTTGTTCCTTCCCTGTCTGTTTCTAAACAAAATATGTTGTTTTAACTGCTTTCTGAAGCCTTTTAATCTCTGAACATCCATTTAGATACCATGGAGGTCCTGAGTAGGATTTCAGTAGTAGCTCTGACTAAAGGATTGAATTGGAGAAGCAGAGTTGTAATATTACACTGAAACAAATATATTAACTTATCCACAAAAAGCCTGCATCTAATCCAGTTGAGTAGTTAAAAATTATGAAGAACCATGATTTGCAAGTCACACTAGAAAGTATGGTCTGCCTTTAGGGTTCTGTTAAATGAGAGAGAGCGTGACCTCGCCAGCCAAAATCCTTTCTTCCCAATTTGAGGTTTCAATGTCTTTGGAACGCTCAGAACCCTTTTCAAATGAATGAAGTCATTCAGCCTGGGGGACAGCTTGTTGCCATCTAAACAAATGTGTTGTCACCAGAAAAAAAAAAAATATTCTTTGTCCATTTGTTTAACGTAGCTGCCACTGGGAATCGTTCTTGCCCTTTGGACCTTCCCTTAGGAGGTTGTGCCCTTTTATTATTAATATTGCTGCCGCAAAGTTTTGGAAACCCACACAGTATTGGACAGATGTCGGGACTCAAAGGAAACCTGGTTGATCTGGGTTGGAGGGAAACTGTACTTCTTGCTATGAAGCTCCTGATGTGTCTGCCAGCCTGCAGCTAGTTAACCGTGAGCCGACTCAGCTGAAACCCGGGAACTCTTCTGGAGTACTGTAACTTGGCACACGTGGACTGGAAAGGGGAAGTGGTACTGAGAGTTTTCCTTGCTTGTGGAATATCCATATGGTCTGCATCCTCAGGAAGCTGAATTCTGATAGGTACTTTGTTCCTTTTTATTAAGCCTCTCCCTTATTTAATGTTTCCCAAATGACTTCTGGGAAATGAGGTCTTGATGCTGATCGTGAGGTCCGCTGGCAGTTTGGGGTCAAACTGCGTACTATGAGATCATGGTTTTGAGGAGCAGAGGTGGCCGTCTCACTCGAGATCTGCACAGTTGCAGCCTAAAGTGTAAGCGGGTAAAAAGAAATTCAAGTTCTTACAATGTGGTAGTGTAAGACTGAGCATACTTAAGTTTTCTTACCATGGTAGAAATGAGAAGAGAAAGAACAGAAGTTTCCTGGAATTTAGAGTATGAGCATCACAATTCCCTTTCTGTTGTGAATCTCTAGGGCCATCATCTTTGTTCTCTCGTAAAGCTTGGATCAAAGTTGTTTGCACCTGCCCATCCATTCCTACAGGTGCGAGTCAGAATCCTTCAAACTGCTAAAGAAACACTGAGTAACTCTTCTGATTTCTGCTCAAGATTAACCACTCTTCTTCACAGTGAAACTATTTTGTTTCATTCCTCCACTGGAGTGTTCCAGCAATTGCAATGTCTCTTTCTGCTGCTTCCAAATTTGCACGGTACAAATCTGCAGCCTGGAGCCTTAAATCATCCTCGTGTGTGTAGTTTGGAAAATGGGTAATGACAATATTTCATTTGGGTAGATTATCACTTTCTAGCCAATTAATACTGTTTGGAAGCAGAATGTGCTCTTATATTTCATGGTTTTGCTCGAACCAGGTAAAGCAAGACTGTTGCCAAAGAAAAGGTACAGCCAGTTACTGGAAAGGGAGAGACAAGGTGTTTTGAAGTCGCTTGTGTTTTCCGTTCTGTGGTAGGTTTCTAGTCAGGGGTTTCTGGTCTCTTTAAATTGTAGGATTCATGATTTAAATACACAAAACATTAACGCTGCCTGAGTGGAAGTGGCAGAGTTTCAGTTTTTTCCTCATGTTTTTCTGACTTACGGAGCTCTTCAATGGAATCTTGTTAGGAGGGGTGGCATTTCCTTGTGGCTTGTGCTCTGGAGTGTCAGTCATTCCAGTATTTCTTCATACTGCTTCCATTATATGTGTGTAGAGGGACAAAGTTTGCTTACTTAACTGGTCAGGATACACAGACACGAATCTTCAGCTTTACACAAGAAACTTCCAATGCTTTTTATTAGGATGGAGTCTGAACTGTCTGCTGTGACTGTGTATATGAGGTTGCTGTTCTTGATCAGTTAGTGCTCTGAGGGGAACGCACGAAGACCCCAAGGCGTTGTTATCTGTCACTGCCAGCTCCTGCAATGCTGCTGTCTTT